TACAGTCATTTTTGAAAATACAGGCCTGGATGATTTCTAAGATCTAAGCTCTGTTTTCTATGACCATGTATTCATTTTCCTTGGTGCTTGTTAAAACCCCTGACCGCTGTATTCCATTCCATCATATAGCCATGCTTGTTTTCATTTAAAACTAAACATTTTAATTTGTTGTTATCTAGTAAAATTGACAGTCCAGGAGGATGCACCATATTTAATTTGTACATAACTCACAGCTTTGTTTCCTCAGGTGTGGGTGAAGCCTACATGGAGAGGCCCAGTACTAGGCTGATGATCTTTAAAGATTCTTATTTCCCCAATATTCTTTGAGTCTGATATGGTCTCATAGATCTATCTGTCTCATAGCTCTTAGCACAGATGGCCATGTTCATGTGTCCTGCCCTGCTAATATCACCAAGCCCGAGTTTTCAAGAAAGTGTGATGGCTATACCAAGAGTCAAGGTCAGAAACCAGTCTTTAAGAAATCAGAGTGGAGGACTAAGGGAGACATATATAAAAGGCTTAATAGAGAAACTAACCACTCCCTCTCCACTGAAATGCAGCCCACATTCCCATGCCAGATCCTGGATCATGGTACACAGGTTCGTTCACCCCTTGGGAGGGAACGCTGCTTTCTAATTAGTCTGTCAGAAGCACACTCTCCTAACTTTCACCAGGATATCTTATAGGTCAGTGGCAGGTTGGTACCAATCCCACTTAACCTGTGATCTGTACACAGAAAACTTAAAAGCAAGAATAGCAACAGGAAGTGGATCTTCATAGGAATTCAGACCTAGGCCTAGCAAGGAAGGTAAGAAAGTAAGGCAAGCAAAGAGATTAGTCAAAGAAACACTTTTAATGGGTTTCTGAAAATTTTCCATGGTATCCGGTCAACTCTTTCCCAGAACAGACAAAAAAGAAGTGACTTATCTCTCCTTCCTGCAAGGACCGACCCTGTAATTTGGGAGCAATTGAAGGAAATCAGAGTGGAGGGCTAAAGGGGTATCTCTTGACATCTACAAGCCAAAGAAGCCGCCCTTTTTATTTTGCTAATTTAATGTAAAAGTGAAATAGGTTCCTTTGCAACCTTGACAGCTAGCTTTCTGGGAAGGTGTCTAATATTGGACGTAAAATGGAGACATGAATCGATGAGACTCATTAATATTCATAGACAGCAGATTAAGGTTGGTGGAAAAAATTATTTATGAAACGGGGGTATTGTCTTCTTCTCACCAAAAGGATTTTGTTTGGAGAGGATTGAATTGGGTGACAGGGCTCTGACAGATTAGGTATGAATTTGCAGATTTCTTGGTTTATCTCCCAAGGAAAAGAATCTAAAGCATTTGCAAGTAAAGAATGTGCCAGGTTGAGAACAGTAAATGCTTCAGCATCACCCGCCAGTGTGCGTAATGAGGTTCAGACACCACGGCGATGATGGAAAGCACTTGGAAGGAAATAAAAGAACGGACTGAGAGTGTGGTTATATAACAAAGGAACAGGCTAAAAGCAAAATGGAGCTTAGCTGATGTCGAGAGAGCAGGGGATAAAACATGAAGAGTTCCTTTTTTATTGATGTCTGTGGGGGTTGGGAGATAGCATAAACTCAGATAATACACAATTTAATTTATAATCTTTTCTCACATTAAATATGTATTTGTTGTGCTGCCTAAGACACCTCGGTGTTATTTCTGACTGTAGTTAGTATGTGCTATTTTATAATCTAATAAAGAGTGAAAGTCAATGAGTTAAGAAGTAGTCTCAGATCCTCAAATGAACTCTGTTAATAGTACAGTTTGAGGATTTATTGCTAGTCCCTTATCTCCTTGAGCCCTTTCCTCCTTTATCTTTCCTCTCCTTTACAAGCTTCTGGAAATAAGCTGTTGGGATCTGCTGAAATTTTTAAGTGACAGGTGAAAAAACATTTTTTTTTCAAAATTAAGCATTGAGAGTGGCAGAATGAGAATCTTAGAATAAGACCTTGAATTACTCTCTAGGGCATGCATCATGCCATGGATTTTTAAAGAGAACTTTTCTGTTGATTGCACTTCAAAAGTTTAGTGCAGTGGGCCTGGCCCACTGGAGTTTGGCTGTTAGCTCTAATGTTGTAAATGCAACTGGTGAAGAGTAGGATTCCATTTTAGATTGTCTACCCACAGACAAGGCTTACAGTAGATAAGGTCTATAGACCTTACCTATTAAAAATATTTTTGGTAGATATGAACAGATGGAAAAATGTATTCTTAGGAATTTGCTAGGCCAATCTCTGAGGACAAGAGACCTGGAACTGACTCTACAACAGAGCTTCATGCAAAACAACAAAGCAGGGGCTAAAAGAAGGTGCAAGAACAGGGTTTGAAAGCTGGAAGACTCCCTAGCCATAACCTGCTCCAGTCTCTTCATTCCCAAAGGGTAGAAATGAAGACTGAAAAAGGACAGCTAAATGGATGAACAGTAGGTGGTAGAGCCACACCACAAAATATTACTCAGCCATAAAAAGGATTGAGTTTCTGATGCATGTGATAACATGGGCAAACCTTGAAAACATTATGCTAAGTGAAAGAAGCCACACAAAAGGCCACATATTTTATGCCTCCATCTATAAGAAATGTCCAGAATAGGCAAACCACAGAGACAGAAGCAGATCAGAAGGGGCTGCCAGGTGCTGGTGGGAGGGAGGAATGGGAGCAACTGCTAATAGGATGGGGTTCCTTTTTGGGGTGATGAGAATGTTCTGGAATTAGATAGTGATGATGGTTGTACAACCTTATTGATATGTTAAAATCCACTGAACTGCACACTTTAATACAGTGAATTTTATGTTCTATGAATTTTATCTCAATTTTCCAAAAGGAAAAAAGGAGGTGGGAGAACCTGACAAGGTTGTTTAGCAAGGCCCCAAACCCAGGCCTCCTCATCTGAGGGGCGGCCCTTCCTATTCATAGACCCTCTTCTCAAGATCATGTTTTAATGTATAAAAGCATTGTTTTTATATGTATAAAATATACATATGTGGGATGACAAGGAAAATGAATTACATTAAAATGCAGTTATCAAAATACTTTAAAAAAAACAAATTTGTGATCTAATAATACACGTGCTTCTATAACAGCACATTAAACAACAAGAACTAGCAGCTGGTCCGAGAACTATTGTAATTTCAGTCATGATGAATATATGTGATTTTATAAGATGTCTGCCACAACTGTAATGGGATATGAAAGCTGCTGTTTCTATTAATGACAAAATCATAGGCACTAATACTGGTTTATTGCTGACACTCAATTGTTGCTAAATTTCAGTTATAAGGTAGTGAAAATAGAAACATTTTTTTCTTGCATCCAAGATCACAGACCCTCAGATTCTATGCATGGACTGTTTGGGGGTTCATAGTCCCCAAGGAATGAATCCTTACACCACACCACTTTGGAGGGCATCTAGGCACAAGTGCAAAGGACTCAAAATATGTAATAAGCCATTGTGGTGTAATTATTTAAGGAGGATAGTTTCCAATCTCAACTAGAAAATAGCAAAAGTAACATCTAAGTAGACTTCTTGTCATTCCATGAAGAGGGCACAATAAACTACCCAATTTAGTAGGCAGCTAAGTCCCCGAGATGCACATGGGTTTCGTTGTGTTTGTGTCAGCTACAGTCAGGTTGCAGGGGCTGCTAGGATGCTGTCTTGAGAACAATTTTGAGGTTCTATGCCCTGTTAGGGATGTTGGTGACTTCTGCAATAGATCAGTGTGATTACTGATGTCTGCTGCTAAGCCCAGAAGGGCGGAGTGGTGATCGCCTGGTCCTAATTCCCAGCCCTAAATGCTGAGCACTTCTTCCTAAACCTGCAGCCTATTATTTACGCCGCTTGTGGCCACCAGGAGCCTTGGTTTAGCAATTCAGGCCTGGTGAGTAAATTGTACACCAACTGTGTGATGTTAACGCATAAAGTAAATTAGCCAATGCAGACATTCTGTGTGGCTTTGCCTTTTAAAAACAAATCCCATTGTTTACTAGCATTGCAATATGCTACCAGCAAATTGCAGTTTATTAGAAGCTCTCATTTGGAGAAAGATATTAACATGCAGGTTTACCTCAGAAATGTAATACCTTCTTGTTTAAAATACTGTTAAGCTCTGCTTTTTAATTTATTCAAGCCCTGCAGGTCCTCTCAGAACTAATGGAAACTCATTGTGAAACTTCCAGGCATGACTGACAAATATCCCAGGTCTTGATATTTCAAGGAAGCAGGTTGCTTCCCCAGCTCTGGCTTTCTTTCCCTCCGAGGTGCCAGGGAGTCGCAACTTGCCATAAAGTCAGTTTTCAGGTATCTGACCAACAGGTGGCTGCCTTCTAATCTCGCATGTTGGCCTTCAGTCATTTGCCTTTAATTAGTGAAGATAACTACCCAACCCAGACCTGCAAGGGACTATGGCCTCCAGTGCTTCATTCTAAGCTGCTCTCCTCAGTACGCAATACAGATGATGCAGATATGATGTATATGGATGTATATATTCTCAGACTTGCTGTGTGTGTTACATATGCATCCATCCTCCTCTCCCTTTGGAATTGCTTGCCCTTCAGTGTTCAGGAAGGTAAGGAGAAGAGCATTTGCTGAGCTATCTTGTGGTGGTAGTCCTAATTGTCTGATCCTTAACCTTAAGGCAGGTTAACTGGACAACTCACTTTGGCTTCTGGCTTCTACTGAGTCATTCTTCAGCACCTCCATTCCTCCAAATAGCCTCATGAGCTATGAATTCGATTCGATGCTTCTAAGGCCTGAAATGGTAGTGTGTCTTAACATTCACAGGAAGCTGTCCTCCATCCTCTTCCTCTCCCTCACGTGCGAGCCTGAGGTTTCCTCATTTCTGACCCCTGGGTCAGCTCCTCTTGAAGTGCAAGTGCTGCAGCTTCCCTCCCGCCCTCACTCAGGGCAGACTCCACTTGCTGAATGCAACACTCTTTCCCACAAACCTGGATCTAACCTTAGAGTCTTTTTGAACACAGTGAGCCAAAAATTGAAGTCAACCCCTGAAGGGAAACCTGCTTGTCAATCTTGCATTAAACCCCGACATGAACAGGGAAGGACTGAGGTTCCCGTCACTGACAACCAACTACTAGTGCAGTAAGGCTACTGCTGCAAGGTCAGTATGTGTTCTTGTAAGCAAGAAAGTTTAAGCTTCTGTTGAAGAGCTTTTCTTAAACCAGAACAAAATGCCCACATTTTCCATTAACCTAAGTGGGAGGGCCTGGTGGGACAAGCCAGCAGAACTGGGTCATCCCCAGTGCACATTAAGCAGGCCGTGGCCCGGTGAGCTCCTCTGGCTCGTTCAGTGAGCTGCCTCCTGGCCCCTAGGTTTACCACCCCAGCCCCTATTGGCCTAGGATTGCCAGCCCTTCCACTTTCCCCAGGCCTCCCCTGCCTTCTCCTTCTGAGCATCATTTGTCCACCTTTGCATGAACCTCAACTCTGCCCAGTTCCCCACTATCTGCAGGTGCAAACCGTAGTTTTCCAGCACATAAGGCATTGTTTTAATTATTAACATTTTATGATAGTTTCATTATCACAAAATCCCTTTCCCTCTGCTCAGTTTCCAACTCTTTCTACAGCATTCCTGACCATCACGGTGGCCACTGGAAGGTATCCCCTTGCTTACTAGAGATTATCCCTGGTGTAACATAGTATTCATTTATATTTTTTACTCAACAGCCCATTGTCATAAATGACTCTCCTGGAAGCAGATTCTTTTCTCCAGTTCAAACACAGGCTACAGCACCATAGCTTCTTGCCTGTCAGATACTTCAGGCAGCAAAGGGTCAGCCTCACTGCTGAAAGCCAGCCAGGTGGTGGGGTCAACCCCACAAACCAATGGCTTATCTTAGCTGCACCTACCTCTTCTACATGAAAATCGTTGTAGGCTTTCCCAGGTGGAGAAGAAAATAAGGAATTCATTTTCTTTCTTGCAGCTCCCACCCAGGCAAAGAGAATCTGAATGGGGAATTCCTCCTCTCAGCCACAGTCCTCTGGGACGCCATTTAGCCTGGGGCCTGCAGAGCTTCCCAGCGGGTAAGCCTGACTTGGGTATCTGAGAATCTGTGGGGTGCAGGAAGTGTAGCAGTGTGCAAAGCATGGGGTGCTGCCCGCCACTCTCCTGCCCCCGTCAGCCCAGAGAAGTGAAGCTAGTGCAAAACAGTCAGCCGAAGAGATCAGCTGCCTGTGTCCCAGATGCAGCTCCTGGGAAAAGGTACAGCAAATGTAAGGGTGCTGGGCAGCTACGAAAAACATGGATAATCCTGAATATTCACATTTCCTAATTTCAAATGTTTCACAGTGCCTTTCCCAGCATGGCTGCTATTCAAACAAGCAGACGACTTGCTGGCCATGGAAATAGCCCTGGCTTTGGTATGAGAAGACCTGGGTTGGGCTCTGGCTCCTGTACTTGCTGATGGTGTGACCTTGACCAAGTCCTGGGCAGAGCAGTCTGGTGGAACCAAAATGCCCAGTGCTAAGCAGGGAGTCATTAGCAGGCCTGTTCTCGGTGCTGGTTATGAGGTTCCAATAGTGTGATGTGGACCTGAAAGCCAATTACGTGCTGTGACTGGCTTTATGAAATGAGGGCTTTTCCTTTCACTCCATAATTCAACAGCCATGTTGCTCCCAAGAGGACACCTTGCCCCCAGCTCGCCTGCCTCGCTGTTTCCAGCATTTGCTGGGGCCACCCAGGGCCTGGTTAGGGGGGTGCTCAGTGGTATGAGTAGGGGGTGAGTTCATGATGCCTCCATCGCGCCTGTGCAGGTGGATAAGGCAGCTGAAATTAATGACATTCCGAGCCACTGCAATGCTCATCTGCTTAACAATCAGTTTCTAGGATGTTTTAGAAGTTGTTAGCTGACTGCCAAAAATGAGGATCATTAAAAATAGATTCACAGCTGTTCAGGAAGCCAGAGATATAATTTTCCCTTCATTATGCCTTATTGCAGATGTTATTGATTTAATCTCATTGCATTTTACTGTGTAATATCAATTCGCACTGCCTTTGACTTGGAAATTGGGTACTGTATTTATTCTTCTTAATCTGATAGCAGAAGATATGCTTAGACTGACAATCACAACGACAACAGGTCCCAAGGCGGCAGAACCGTTCAGGCATAGGCCTAGTTGTGGGGCTGCAGCACTGACTTAGTATAGCTGACTTAAAGAAAAATAATCTAAAAATGGGGGCACGATTCATTTTAAGTGGGTCTACACACACAGGTGATTTAAATAAATGAATCAAAAGAACCCTTGGATTGGTTTGCATGTCACCAAAAAAGTTGCTTAAATGAATCTTTCACTTTTCTGTCAATTCTTTTATCCAGAAAATTTAACACTGAAAAGTGCTAAAGTAGAATTTAATCTGAATTAAATTACAGTGCTGTCTTGCCAGTGGGTTTCAGCCCCGGGCAAGTTCACTATGGAGTCAAAGTGACCAAAGAAATGACAGTAGACGTTCTTGGGGTGAAAGGGTTATACCCAACTTTATTTCCATGATGGCAGGTTAGTCACTAGAATCCCATTCACTCAGAGCGAGTCTGCATGCAGCAACCCGGTCTCTGCCCCTGGGCCTCTCTGCCCGCACAGCCGTCCTCTTGACCTCGGTGCTGCCACCACTCTGGCCTCTGCTTTGCTCTCCTGCAGCCTTGCAGCTGTGCCACCATGTCACCCAGAGCACTGGGCAGAGTTCTTTATAGAGAGTCAATAACAACATATTGCCCGCACATGTGTGGTGCGCTAGCCAACCAGGGCCAGGTGAGAATCCTGGCCACAGGAACTTTCATTTTATCCACAGGTGCATTAGGATATTGTCTCCCAGGAGGTGTTTCTTAAAACAGTTGAATTGAGGTACATTGTGATTTTTTTTTTAAGTTTTTGACCTTAAAAAGCTTGGGAAACCCTATATTATAACCTCTTCTTACAGAGTTATAATATATGGTGGCATAGTAAAGACTCCAGGTAGGAAATAAATTCAGTTGGCTTTGTTTAATCCAGCATTTTCCAAACTACTTTGATGCAGTAATGTTTGTTCTCCAATCCATTAATATCCCTGAGTGCGAGTGTGCTGAGGGACACCCTTTGAGGGTCACAGACCTGGAAGGAAGGCCAGCTCAGTCCTAAGAAGTCCCACACCTCTGTCCACTAGCGCTGCTGTCGCCATTCCTGACTGTCAGAGGTTTGGCTCATGAACTTTTGCACCTGAGTAGCTACTGTTTCATATCTCTCATTTTCCCTTATTTCATTGCCTCAGTTTCCAAACTCAGATTCTATGCAACTCACTTCCAATTTCCTACATGCACTGCCTCTCTCATACCCTCTCCCCCCCACCCCAGGAAAACTTGCCACTTCACCAGGTTCACCACTCGGGAGTGCAGTGGGGCCTGTGGAGCCCTATGCCTACTCTTTTTACTAGGTTCAGCCACTTCCTCAAGCAAATCGCTCCTCACTAGTGAGAAAGCTTGTTCAGATAGTGTGCTTCAAAGCCTGTATGATATCAGGTACAAAATGATTTCAAATTTGCACTATTTCTTGCAACATTAATATGTCTCAAGGCCTTCAGCAAGTCATTTATCCCCTTTGTCTTGGTGAGAAGTTGGCATAGCATAAATAAAGATGTGCAACTATTTCCATCTACATTTAAAAGGCTTAGAAAAGAGTCCCATGTTGCCAGCATTGGCATTTGAAGAGGTCCATAAGCAGCATTTGGCTTGATGAGGTCCCACTTCCAGTGTCCAGTGGTTACCATCAAGGATGGTGTGACTTGGGGTTTTTATTCCATTTCTGCCCACTGCCTTGCATACTCCCATGTGTCACTAGCTTCTAGCTGGTCAAGGTCTGTGGGAACCTAGTATTTGTACATCTGTGCCACTTTCTTTTGTCTCACAGGAAATATAACCTCTTTGATCATGATGTCTAACATTTGCTACCAGTTGGCAAAGAATGTTAAACAAATTTAATTACTACCTCTCCCTAGCCCTTCCTTCCCTACCTCAACTTTGCTGATTTCTCCATACCCAGCTAGTCCCCAGGGGTGACTTAAGATCACTTCTCAGGGTGGCAACTGTAGGCAAAAGTTTGGACAGCGTTTAGGCCAAGGGCACAGACCTGATCTCATTTGGTACTAATTCCCCATTATTACTAACTCTTCCATAATAAACTTACATCCTCCCTAGATTGTGAGCCACCCGGTTCCCGGCCTTTTACTTCTCCCCATATCCATCATGGTGTCCACACTGAGCTCAATGCCTACTTACCAGTGTAGTGGGTTAGCATCTCCCAGCCAGTAAGGGATAGAGCCAGAGCTGGATTCAAGTCTCCTGATAGGCAGACCCAGTGTGCTGAATAAGCTCTGTTCTGTAGGTGCCCTTCTGCCAGAGCAGTCATCTTATTCCTCCATATTCAGACTTTGTTCTCATAGGAGCTCCAGTTGAATAACATGGGTTGAAAAGTTCATATTGTGGCTCATATCCACACATATTGTGCCACTAAGAATTATCCAGATTTTTAAGTTACAGCTTATGCATATATGCTCAAGGATTGTGTTTGGGGCAGGCAAGGAGTACAGCTCTGCTTATATATTCATAAGATTATAGCTGTTCAAATTTGATAGAGAACTTTGAAGCCACTTAAAGGAACTTCCTTATTTTTGTAATTAGGAATCTGAACTACAAAGAGGAGTATACTCTAAGTAACTATATAATCCGGGAAAATTCCTCTTTACCCAAACCCAAGTAGGAGAATCCATTTTCAGTTCCTTTATTCATACCTATTTTTCTTTGCAAGGTTTGAGTTGTTACATTTTTGTGGCTCTGATATGATTCAGAATTATGCTGCTTTGAAAACCAAACTAAAATGAAATTCTACAAAACTCTAAATAATATGAGACAATGATAGACCAAAAAGGAAATCTCAATTTGGACTCATACTTGAGTGTCCTGAAAATTACTGCAAAAGCAAAATATAACTATACTATGAGGAAAACATGTTGATAAATAACTGAGTCTACTTTTCTTCGCATACTTTCATAAAGACAGATGACAGACCCAGACTTATTAAAAATAATATAAAAAAATGCTTTTGTACATGACTAAAGCTAACCTATTAACAGTGCTACTAAACAAAGGAATAAAAAAGTGAGAAATTAAAAATGGGCATGAAGAAAAGTAGCGGAGCGGCGCCACCTAGTGTCGATTGTCTGAAAAAGCAGCTGATGTCTCTTGCGCCCTCCTGTGGCAGAATTCATCATTCTTCATAGACCGGAAAACTACTAAAGTAGATTGAATGGTTTCTTTCCTCTGCTCTGGATGGGAGATGAAAATGGATAGCACCTTGGCATATTTTTCTAAGCAAAATATACCTTCATTCACTATTTCTAAGACAGAATAACTACATAGACCAGATTTCCTGTTGATTACACAATTGTCTTCTTTTGGACATAATTTCAAATGAGCCATAACCATTAACCTTTAAAATCTGAATATTCTTAAAAGATCTAAACCTTTCTAACCCCATGAAATTCTGTTCAACATAAAACTTTGTGAATACTATCCCTGTACCAACATTTTGGTGACACTTAAACCTAAAACAAACTTTAATTTTTTAAAAACTAATTTAGATGTAAATGTGAGAGAATTTGAGGCAGAAATAAGAGGTATTTTACCCCATGTCTTGGTTTACCCATTTGTAGTGTGGAAATTGTTCTGATTCTGGTCTACCTACCTTCCTTTAGGGATGGGGAGAATTGCCATTGGCAGGATTAAATGAGATTAATGTCCATGGATGCTATTTAAGAGTAGAAAGTATGTGATTTATATAAAATTGAGATACTTCATTATTTTTATTAAGAGCTGAAAATGTTGGTTGATGTTTTACATCTGCACTGGCTTGAGTCAAGGAAATAACAATGAATAAGCAAACTAGAAGAACTTTACTAGTTCCATGACTTTGGATAAGGCATTTAAGTCTGAAAATTGGCTCTTTTATTCTATGCAATGAAGACAGTCTGGATTATATTATCCATAGGGCCTGTTAGG